TCATATGGAACACCTCTCCATAAGACCTATATTTATAGTTGAGACAATTCCCTTTAACATGTGGGATATGGAAAACACAAACCTAATCTAATAGAAAACTTCCTTTTCCTATTTCTAGATTTCCTTATTGTGTTTATCCTTAACATATTAAACATCCAATAATATGTTAAGTTTCCACAAGCTTGGAATTACCCAACAAATGTTATATCATCGGGTAGTATTATAATATATAGCTTCTTCCTTTCGCAGAAAAATCTGGCCTGGCTCATTATAATATACCACTAACTTAGGCAAAATCCGTATCTTGGCAAAATTAATGAGAGGAATTTGGAGTATTAGGATTGGAAGATATATTCCCCCCCCCTCCCCCCTTATGTCATTCGTCTTATTATTTTCTCCTCTAAATAAAGTAGTTGAGACTTGAGAGCCACCGAAAAGCAGTCGACATCATATCATTAAAGCTTAATTTTCTATGTTTTTCTAGAACAATTTCTTGAGATAAAGTAAGGTGAGAAAAAATGATGTCCCTACTCATTTACAAAAAAAAAGAAGAAGAATGATGTCTCTACTGGGCTGCAGCTTGTAGAACGAAAGATTTTGTCAAACTTTAGTTTGGAATTTTCTATTAATTCACATGCATTTGTTAAGTTTAATCCAAAAAAAAAAACATAGATTTGTAAAAGCAAAACCTATTGGCTCATCGGTCAATGCCAATCTCAATGAATAGAGAAGTCTTTTGTACCACGTATTTATAACATACGATTATTTTTAGTGCTCAATCTTTCGCCTAAATTATAAGAACTCGCCATATCTTCCAACTGATGCTAATACCATGGAACATATTTCAAATTGTTGTAAAGCATTAAGTCAATGGAAATGGTAAAATGTTATATTCAAAAAACAAGTAAAGGAGCTTAAAATAAATCAGTTATCCAAACATATTTAGAAATAACCAAAAATATTTAAAAAATCTAAAAGTATCCAAATAATCTCAAACTAACTAATATATCCAAATTTATAGTTTATTTTAATAAGTAAAATTATTACAAGTATTAATATAACTATATCTTGAATATTTTTGGATATATGTACTTTGTCATGAGATTCGCGTTTAGATGATATCCTTAATTTTTGACTTGCTTGCTTACATGAATCTCACTTTATCCGGTTTGATAAGTTAATTCATTTGTTCGCCACCATCTGTGGTGCTATCTAGGGGTGGGCACGGATCGGATATCCGGGTTTTCGAAGGTATTTATGATTTGCTTCGTAGGTTACGAATACCTGATTTTGGTATTTGCTTTGCTTCGAAAAAATACGGATATCCGGAAAAACGGATATCCGAAAAATAAACAAATATTTGCGGATATTTACGAATACTACGAATATCTCATCCGTTACAAATAATCTTATATAAATTTATTTTGTAAAAGTTTTTTACATGATATATAAAATAAAAAATAAAGAAGTAGTGAATTTACATATTTTATATTTTTTTATGTTTTAGTTAACAACTATAATAACACAGAACTTAAGATTTTTTTGATAATTTTCATAATTTGTCTCTTCTTTTTATCTGATAATTTTATATAAGTAATAATGTGAATCTAATTAGTCAAATCATAAGCTATAATAATAATTTTACACATTTAAATTTTTAAATATAATCAAAATATACATATATTTATATATTTCCGGATCGGATCGGATATCCGCTTCCCAAAATTTTAATATTTGTGATTTGCTTCGGTTTTAACGGATATTGATTTTTAGTATTTGCTTTGATTCAAAAAGTTACGGATATCCGGAATTTTCGGATCGAATCGAGACAAATAACGAATCGAATCAAATTTAACGAATAAAATGCCCAGCCCTAGTGCTATCAACATCATTGTACTAATATAACTAGTCTATTCGAAAGTTAAGAGAGACATCCCAAATACTGTTTACGGAATCCATGTATAACAATATTAGCAAGGATGAAAAACTTGGAGAATAGTTTAAGCAAAAAAAAAAAAAGTTAAGAGAGACAGAGATAACTGTGGTACTCGATTTAATAATATATTGCTGTTTACCCTTTATCAATCCACGCATGAGAGAATATACATGAATTGCTTGATTTTGGTTGTACATATTATGCATGGTTAGTAACATGCAGACATGAACACATCACACACGTACGCACCTATTCTGTGTTAGACACAGCCTATCAATATTCACACCATGAAATTTCAGTTTCTAAAAACAAATCATAGATTTCACTGTCTTTACTTAGTCTGAAATTTAGTCTTTACTTATTGCATTTGTTTCCGAATATTTTATTTTACAATAAAGATAAAGAAATTTTAAACGATAAAAGTCAACCATAACCCATCATTTGGTCTTTGGTTTCCCGACGTCCCACTTTTGTAAAAAATCATCTGTTTTTTTCCATTCTTTTTCCTAGCCAACTGGATATCACCAATTATAATTATTTAAAATTATTCACTACACATTAATATTTCCAGAATCTCTTCTATATATACATCAGCCAAGTCTTGCAACGAGACAACATTTTCGAAATAAAGATACTAGAGCAATGAAGGTTCATGAGTTTTCCAATGGGTTTTCCTCGTGGGAACAACATGATTCGCCATCATCCCTTAGCCTAAGCTGCAAACGCCTCCGTCCTCTCGCCCCTAAGCTCTCCAGCAGCCCTTGCTCTCCTCCTTCTTCTTCCTCCGGCGTCACTTCTGCTACTTTTGACCTCAAGAGCTTCATTAAACCCGATCAAACCGGTCCAAGAAAATTTGAATACTCTATTGAACACAAACGAGACATTCCTCTAGTCAGTTACCTTATTTTACATTCAACATATTGTTCTACATCCAAAATATTTTTTTACACTATTAAGAGTTTTGCAAAATAGCCATATACCTTAGATATACCGTCTTCTATTATATTAATTGTTTCTTCCAACTAACAAATATGGTACGTTAGGTGGAGGCGCACCCGGGAGGGACAAGGTGGAACCCAACTCAAGAACAGATAGGGATACTTGAGATATTATACAAAGGTGGAATGCGCACTCCTAATGCCCAACAGATCGAGCACATCACTTCTCAACTCGGTAAATACGGAAAAATCGAAGGAAAGAATGTATTTTACTGGTTTCAGAACCACAAAGCCCGCGAGAGACAGAAGCAGAAGAGGAACAATTTCATTAGCTTAAGTTGCCAAAGCAGCATCAAGACAAACAATATCAATAACGCAATTGTAACAACGAAGTCAACAACAACATCGTCATCTGACTTGATCAGGGTATGTATTGGTTGAGGATTACTTTATATAGTTTTCTTATGGGTTTTTAACTAGCAATAAATATTAAGTTTTGTTTAATGTTTGTGTAGAGAGACTCAATGGTTGAGAAGGGGAAGTTAGTGGAAGAGAGTGAAAACAAGAGGACATGTAGGAGCTGGGGATTTGAGAACTTGGAGATAGATAGCAGACAAAACATAAATAGTAGTAAAAATGCTACAATGGCAACTATTTTTAACAAAATGAAAGATAATGTAACCCTTGAGCTTTTCCCATTGCACCCTGAAGGTAGGTGAAAAAGATGAGGGAGAAAATGTGGAATTCTTATGTAGATCTGGTTTAGATTCAGACGAAGTAGTTGGTATCTAGAAATTCAATATATATATATATATAATTAAATAAGTTGAGAAAATAGCAGAATCTACTTAAGAATTCCCTTGTAATCTGCGAATCTAATGTACCCTATGTACATTTTTTATTGCAATGTATTCTTAATTATGAACTTTAAGCTTAGCTCATCTCTTGAGTTAAGTAGATGTTCTTCACAAATTCAGTCGTTTTTATTTAAGAAATAAATTAAGTCGTGATTATGATAGACCTAGTACTTTTTTACAAAAATTCAATATTTTGTATTGTTATAACGAGTCAAGAACATATAGTATCTTTTAGTGACAACATATTAAACTTCTTATAACAATAGTTGAACACAATAACAGATATTCGAAACAATATGCTTAAGTTTAAGATTTAGTTTTGATAATTTTGTATACATTTTATCAGATGATAATAGCGTAACAGCTTAGTTTTAAAAACAAACCGTAACTGTAATCTTGTTTAAAAGTTTGTATTCCCGATGATATTTTAGAATGTGTTATATAGCCATCAATAAACATCAATGTACATGTAAACGGTGGTGTGTATGTGGTTAGTTGTTTGTCTGATGCTTTATTGACTATTGCAATTGTTTTTTGGTATTTTGGTTGAAACAAGAGTGCGAAAGAGAGAATTTTCTTTTTAGGTTAAAAGTTATATGAGACACACTCACTGAAGTCCATGCACTCGCTTTCCCGCTACATTGCATGCTAGCTAGCTGTACCTATATACATATTTATATATATAGCTCTGTATTTTTTGAGTTTCCAACTTTATCATTGTACGTGGAGATCCCTTGTACGTGACAATGATTTTTTTTCTTTTTTTTTGTAAATGAGTGACAATGATTTTCTCTTTCTCTTTTGTCATTATTCCTTTCATTTAAAATGTTTGTACCTGTAGAATTAAGCATGCAGACTACATTTTACGTAACTTTTTCAAAAAAGTATTTAATTTAATTTTATACATATTAGTATTACCTCCCATGCTCCCAACAGGCTAATTTACTATCTTTAAAATATTTGATTATGTTTAATAATATATAAAATATTTTATGAAAAATATCTGCATTCAAAAAACATCGATAGAGGTTTACAAATAATTCTATAGTATTATAAACATGGGTACAACTTTGCAATATGTTCAGAAAATAATGAAAATATAAAATATATATAGTTAAAATACTAAATTATTTCATTACCTTTATCCATCGAGGATGTTGTGAATAATACCAAATACTTATTTAACATAATATAAATGTTGAATGTGATGCGGTGTATCTTTTAAATTATAATTTTAATCCCTTTATTAGTTTTACAGTTTAAATTATGATTTATCTACATTTCATGTCTAATTATCTAGCATCTTTGTGGAAAGCAACAAAATTCTACCACATTCCTTTTTGATAGTTGTCTGTCTCATGTTTTGATAGGTTTTTGATTTTTTAAGATTTAAATTTAAATTTAAATTTTAAATTTTTTATAAGAGAAACGGTTTACTATTTAAGATTTTAGGAGATTCAAAATTTTACAAATGCATTACAATTTACATTTTTTAGATATAATTTGTTAAATACCATCAAAATTTTAAGAAAATAATAGAAATAAATTATAGTGTAAATATAAAACAACAGTATGCTTATTATTTATAATTATATAATTTTGTATATGTATACTGTTGATATAGGATTTTAATATGACGATATATATACATGAGATCTTTTAAAACTTTAATGTTTTATTATTTAATTGATTTTTGTCACATTTTAAATCGGTGCAAATTAAACAAACAAAATCTATTAGTTTTTAGGATTTATTAATATACTGAGTATTAATTTATAAAGCTTCTACTGTATAATCAGATTTATTGTTTCCAAAAAAAAAAGTAGCTGTATTACAAAACAAAATGTATATATATATATATATAATATTTATTCAGACTTTACTTAAAAAGATGGGTTTTGACACACGTTGGGTTAACCTCATGATGGGTTGTGTTTCATCGGTGCAATTCCGGTTTCCATTAGATGGAAGTCCAAGAGGGAATATTATACCGCAAAGAGGATTATGATAAAGAGACTCTTTCTCTCCTTACTTATTTATTTTGTGCACATAAGCGCTTATTGCCAAAATAAAGAAGGCTGAGAGGAATAAATAATTAACAAGAATGAAGATTGCAAGAACGTGTCCCTCTGTTCACATTTGTTTTTTGCGTATGATAGCTTATTTTGTAAGGCACAAAGAGAAGAATGTTATATTATTCTCAGAATTCTGAAGGAGTATGAGAAAGTGTTTGGGCAGGTAATTAATTTTCAGAAATCCTCAATCTATTTTGGGTTTAAGATTAAAGAATCGATTCAGCAGGATCTAAAGAGTATTTTAGGGATTTATAATGTTGGAGGTATGGGCTCCTATTTAGGGTTGCGAGAGAGTTTGGGAGGACCTAAAACCCAAGTGTTTGGGTTTGTGCATGATAAAATGAGTACTAGGATAAATGGCTGGACTTTTGTATTTTTCTCTAAGGGTGGGAAGGAGGTGGTAATTAAGTCAATGATCTCAAGTTACCAAACCATGTCATGTCTTGTTATAGAATTCCAAAGACGGTTATTTCGAAATTGACAAGTATGGTGGCACAATTTTGGTGGAGTCCAGGAGGAAGTACAAGAGGTATGCATTGGAACTCTTCAGATAAGTTGTGTGCAACCAAGGACAAGGGATGACTGGGTTTTAAGGATCTTTCAGATTTTAATACAGCGATGTTAGGAAAGTAATTCTGGCGTTTAATAGAAAAACCTAAACACACTTTTCTTTAGAGTGTTCAAAGGAAGATATTTCAGAAATACATCACCCTTGGAACCGAACCGATCTTACTCGCCTTCCTATGGCTGGCGTAGTATTGTTTCAGCTAGATCTCTGGTTGGCAAAGGGCTAATCAAACATGTGGGATCGGGATCAACCATCTCAGTATGGAATGGTCCTTGGCTCCCAACCACTCGCCAGAGACCAGCAAATTGTAACCAACAAAATCTCTACCATATATCACAGTGGATTCTCTCATTAATCCTACTTCAAGGACATGGAATTCACAAATAATAAGGACTTTGGTGGATCCAGCGGATGTGAAGTTAATTGAAAGTATTCCTTTAAGTAAATATCGGCTGGTTGATCAGGATGGATGACACTTCACAACTAATGGGAAGTATATGGTTAAATAAGGTTATCGGGTTGAAAGCGTATATCCGGATAGGGAGAGGCCTCCGCTGGGGTATGGACCCACGGTAACCCTGTTAAAGGTTCACTCCTGGAAGATTTGATGCCCTCCCAAAATGAAACATTTCCTCTGGGAGATTGTGACGGTGTATTGCGGTGAAGAAAAACCTGCGGTGTAGGGGAATACAAGGAGATATACAATGTGTGAGATGTAGAGCTAGTGAGGAATCAGTTAACCATGTGTTCTTTGAATGTCCTCCAGCGGTACAAGTATGGGCACTCTCTAAGATCCCTTTGAACCCATATATTTTCACTACTCAGGCTTTGTTCACAAATATATATCATCTATATTGGAGAGTAAAACCGGAAATGGAAGATCATCAGTTTGCTTGGATCTTATGTTATATTTGAAAGGCAAGGAATAATAAAGTCTTTAGTATTGATGTTGATCTCATAGAATAATAAAGTCTTTAGTAATATTGATGTTGATCCCACAGACACATTGAAGTTGGCGGAGACTTAATCGATATTATGGAAGGAGGCTCATACATCAGTACAAAAAAATACTCCCATTATGCAGGAGATTGGCCAGCCCAGGTTACCACGTATACTGGGACGTTGGTGCATTACAGATGGGCCGTGGAAAGCACAAGAAACGTTAGCAGGTCAGGGTTGGTATAGTACTCTTCAGGGATTTCGGGGATTAACGAGAGCAAGGAATACGAGAGCCAGTCTATCGCCATTGCATTCGAAGATTGAAGCTCTCATATGAGCTATGGAAAGTACGAGGAACTTGCAGCAATACCACGTCACATTTTCTACGAAATATATTCAGTTGGTGAAGATGGTTTATGCACCAAAGGAATGGCCAGCCTTCGCAAATTATTTGGACGACATAAAGATTCTCAGAACCACTCAGAGATCATTCATATTCTCAGAACGTTAAATACCAAGACGGACAGCCTTGCACGCAGTGCCAGGAAGCAACCGTCTTATGTTGTTCATATGGATACAACGTTACCAGTTTGGTTTGTAGAGTCTACTTAGAGTCTGTATATGTTGATGACAAAAAAATACATATAATTATTTTGATATAATTTAATATTTTACTACTCAAATTTGAGGTGGTATGGAAAGATATATCGGAACAGGACAATCAACATAAAACAGTTCTATATAAAAGGTTCTACTAATCATAGTTAAAGAATCAGCAATATCATTATGTTTGGGAGGGGTATATGAGGGAGATTTTACATACAATGCTAATATATTATATGTTCATTTTGACTAAGAATTATATAAGCATTTTTATTATATTTAATTTAATTTCTGTACAAGAAGTTAGGTGTGCGCATATTAACTATTCTTTTTCTTTCATTTTATTTAATTTTTTTAAGAAAAAAGTTGTTGCAAATTAAGTGATGCTTTTATTATTCTAGATGAAAAATTAATTTATTTTTGATCAATTATATAATATTTCATTTTTATTGGTTGAATTAATTTTTATGATATGTTTATGTAGCCAACTAACTTTGTAAAAGTTAATATTTTAAGATTTTTTTGTTCTTTAATCTTAAACACCAAATATAACGAAACAGAATGAGTATATTTTATACGAACAGGAATATCCATGGATAAGTTTATGTATTATTTTCAAGTAATTTATTAAATCTTTTGTTCAAAAATCGAACACCGTTCGGCTACACAGATTTAACATTCAAAATTACGGAACGTTTAAAGTGTCTCTGTTTGGTAATCATATTCTCAAATGATTATTTGCCACACATTATATATTGGTGCTCGTGGGGTATGTGGTGTTCCATTTCTTATAATCTTGGAGGGAACCGAGATTGAATTTTATAAATAAAGAACTTTACTCAATTGGTACTGGGCATCGGGACCAGAGATTATTTTCAACAATTCATTGTTTTCGGTTCTCACGTGTACATAACAAATCAAAGATAATTTTTTTTTCTAATATCCCCTATATATTATTTGAGAATCATTTAAAAAGTTATAACCTTAAGTTTGTAAGAATTAAAAATAACTTCAATCCGATGTGACATATCTCTTTGGCTTCTATTTCAAATTCCAAGGATTTTAGAGCATGTGATATAATATATAGTCTAAAAATTATATTCTCTAGCAATATAATATTTCGTAGACTATAGTTGCTCGCATATATTAAATATTTATTGTTTCGCATGCTTTCCT